ATTATATTTTCTACATATTTAGAGTTTCTGCATCTACTAATACAGTATTCCCTCCAATTCCTGGATTCAAGATGTATATTAACATCCTTATGAATTTAAATAACAAATTCAAAGCTGGAACTGTATATTCAGGTTGTACCTGGTCCTCTCTATTGCTTAGTTTATTGAAACTTTTCAGCGAATATTTACTAATATGAAGAAGACATCATCTAGGTATAAGTCCATCTGCCATCATAAATTAAAACTAAAACAAAAACATTGAAATTAAAAATGTATTATTTAAACTTACAAAATTAAGCAATTATAAAGAAAAGCAAGTATAAAGACCAGCAGTTACCGTAATGGCTAGGTCGCTGGACTCCCATGTCGTCGACCGCAGTTCGCGTCCCAGACCCGGTGGTTTAAAACACGCGAGGCACATGTGCATGCGTGCCCAAGATCCCGAGAGGAGAATGGAGGAGAAGGGATTGCAGCGTGGCCATCCCCCCTAGGGGGTGATTTCTTGCTTTCTGTCTCTCTGTCTCTCTCTGGCTGGCTGGCGAGCGCACACGCCCAATAAGAAAAACCTCTCCAAAAAAGAAAAAGAAAAAGAACATTCTCTTCTCTGATAATACTTTCTTCAAAGTATGTAACAATTACACTTTGAAAGCTATTAGGGTTTAAAATTGTTCTAAGAACTTTAAGATACCTTGTAGGTTTTAAGAAAATTTGATATCCCAATTTAGAAACACACACACACAAATACAGATTGCTCATCGTTAAAGTTTTCTATTCACTTATTGAACAAATATGCAATAAAGGACAACCATGTGAAACCTGGGTTTAGGAAATGCAAGAGAAGTCAGGTGTTGACAGTCTACATGCCCCTTCATCTGGACTACAGCTGTGCACAGAGCCCTGAGATTCCAGGTGACAGCCTTTTGACCAGGGCCAACATGGACGGCAGAGAGACTACAGGAAGTCTGAGGACCTAAGTGCTTCTGGCAAGACAGGTGCCCTCCTGACTACCGTTACTTGCAGCTTTTCATCACCATCACTAGGACCAATCACTCTTTGTGTTATTTCCTGTTCACTCACGGCTTGTATCCTCTGGTTTAAGAGTCTCTGGCTTTGAGACCAGCAGATGGCATAATGATTACATTGCTGGACTCCCACGTGGCCAACTGTAGTTCAGGTCCCATTCCCGCAGGCTTGAAACTCCTGCCAGGTGCATGTGTGTGCGTGCCCAAAGTCCTGAAAAGAGAGTGGAGGAGAAGAGACTGTAACATGGACATCCCCCATGGAGGCTGATTTCTTGCCCTCTGTCTCTCTGGTGAATGTACACACCCTATACAAAATTTTTTTCTTAAAAAATAAAAAGAGAGAGAGACTCTGACTCCTTTTTAAATAAAGCCATTGTTCCTCTACCCATCAGTCTCTGGGACCTTATTCTGGCAAATGTTTTTCCATAGCACTATTACCAGTCATATCTGTTAATTTGTTCATTGCCTTCTTGTATACACACACTAGAATGTACGCTCCATGATAGCAGGACATTTGTAGTTATCAATATGTCCCTAGAACAGTGTATGATGCACATACTGTTCTGTAAGCATCTGTTGGATGGAGTTAAAACTGAGTTAATGAACACTCTAACCTGAACCTCCATACTCTTGATCCTCTTACTGTTTCTCTTCCAGTCTCCAGCTTCACCTCATCACTTAGATTTAAAGTTTGCCCTAATTTCTCTAGCTCAAGATCTGAAAAAAAAAGAAAAGAAAAAAAGTCCTCATAGGTTTACGGTTTTTAAGAATCACCATGGTCAGGCCAACAGGTTGTTTGTGGTTAAGGTGTTGAATTTCCACATGGTCTACTCTGGATCAAGTCCAGGACCTGGTGGCTTGAAATTCACACCAGATGTGTGTGTGTGTGCCCAAAATCCCGAGGGGAGAATGGAGGAGAGAGGATTGCAGTGTGGCCGTCCTCCCTGGGCAGAGGGGCACAATCTTCACTTTCTATCTCTGTGTCTGTCCTGCAAATGCACACACCCTATAGCAAAAACCTCTCTGAAACAAAACCAAAATCAGAAGAATCTCCATGGCTCTTGTGTAGAGAGTATTCTGAGGAGAAAGAGCAGAACGGTGAGACCAGTTCAGTGGGTACTGCAGTGGTCTTGCTCCGGGATGATAGTGACTTGGCATAGTGGATTGTAGCAGTAAAGTGGAGGCTTATCAGATTCATGATGTATTTTGAAGTTAAAACCAAGAGGATTAGTTGATGGATAGGGTGTGGGATATGTTAGAAAGAGGAATTGGTGCCAGGAGGTGACATGCTACTTACAGCACTAGACTCCCACATGGCTGACCATGGTTCAAATCCCGGATCTGGTGGCTTGAAAAAGATGCCAGCCGCATGTACATGTATATCCAAAATCCCGAGAGGAGAATGGAAGAGAAGGTTCTGCAGCATGCCCATCTCCCCAGAGGATGATTTCTCACTTTTAATCTCTCTCTAGCAAGCACATGCACTTTGTGGCAAAAACTTTGGGAAAAAAAAAATGGTATTAAGGGTGCTTACAAAGTTTATTTATTTATTTATTTTTCTCTTTTTGGAGAGGTTTTTGCTATAGGATGCGTGCGCTCACCAGAAAGACAGAGACAGAAAGTGAGAAATTACCCCCAAGGGGGGATGGTCACGCTGCAATCCCTTCTCCTCCATTCTCCTCTCGGGATCTTGGGCACGCACGCACACGCACCTGACGTGAGTTTAAGCCACTGGGTCTGGGATGCGAACCGTGTTCGACTACATAGGAGTCCAGCAACATAGCCATTACACTAACTGCTGGTCCCAAGGGTGCTTACAGTGTTTTAGGCCAGAGCAACTAAGTTAATGGAGGTACATTTACTGAGGAAAGAGAGTTAGGCAGGAGATTGTGGTAAGGTGATGGACGTGGAGAATGAAGAGTTCTCTTTATGTTAACATTGAAATATCTTTTAGATCTTTGAATGGAGCCAATAAAATAAGCAGATTAATGACTCCAGCATTTAGAAGAAAAATTAGGAGTAGAGATGCATGTTTGGGAGACGTAAGGATATAAATAGTTTTAAAGCTGTGGTTAGGATGAGCTAGGAAGTAAGTGTAGAAAAAAGTGAAAAGTTTTGAAGAGGGGAGGTTCTAGCACAAGAGATCCAGGAGAAGCGACCAGTGAGAAAGGAGGAAAAGAGCTGATCACAGAAACCAAGTGAAGAAGCATATATAGGTATAAAAAAAAAAACCTCCCAAATTATTAAATATCATCTTTGTTTTAAAAAAGATTCAGAACAATAAAATAAGAATTTAATAAATCTATTTTTAAAATGTAAGTTAAACGTCAATATTGAATCTACATGGCATAACCTTTGAGGACTTCCTTTTCTTTTTCAGACAGGTATTTTTGCTATAGGGCTTGTGTGCTTGCTGGAGAGAGAGAGAGGTAACGACATAGAAAGTGAGAATTCACCACCAGGGAGGATGACCACGCCACAGTCCCTTCTCCTACATTCTCTTGGGATGTTGGGCACGCGCACACGTGGACCTGGCATGAATTTCAATCCTCCACATCTAGGACTACATGGCAGTCCAGCAACATAACCATTATGCCACATGCTGGTCCTCCTATGAGGTCTTTTATTAGACAATTTACAAAAGAATTGGAGTTACCAAAAAGTTAGATGCAAAACTGCAGTTTCTTGTATGACCCATCTAAAAGTGTGTTTAGAAACTTGCTTTATAGAGGCTTTATAAGGATTGAAAAGCTTATGTATGTGTATATGTAGTTACGTATATACAAGCATATTTGCACATATCACTAATGAGTATTAAGTAGTACTGTACATAAACTAGAAAACCAGAAATGCATATAGAAGTATAGATGGAAAAAGGTCCAACAGTCTGTCTGACTCATTGATGCTTATACATATAATCAAAGAAAAAAGTTTTAGCATTTCATTTCCATGCTATGAATAAGATGTTAGTGCATCTCAAAGGGGCTCAAGAAATTTGTTGTGAACTTCGAGTTTATCAAGAACTGAAGTGAACGTTATTAGTCAATGTAATTCCCAGTGCAAACAGACCCTTACCACCCCAGATGCCAGTCACAAGCCATGAGCTAGCTATGTTACCTTGGAATGAGGTCATACCTTTCCTACCTCCCTAGTAACTTATATACAATCTTAGCTAAGGTAATTATATGTTAAAGTGCTATGAAAATCATCATATAAGGTATCATTCATTCTCTTTATGAGGACTGCTGATGTGTGATGCATCAAAACTGGCATTTTTCATGCTTGGTAGCAGTGTCTTTTCTCTTTGAAAGACATCAACAATTCCTTGGGACCAGCAGTTAGCGTAATGGCTATGTCGCTGGACTCCCGTGTAGTTGACTACAGTTCGCGTCCCAGACCCGGTGGCTTAAAACTCAAGCTGGGCGCGTGTGCGTGCGTGCCCAAGATCCCGAGAGGAGAATGGAGAAGGGATTGCGGTGTGGCCATCCCCCCGGGGGGTGATTTCTCGCTTTCTGTCTCTCTGTCTGTCTTTCTGGTGAGCGCGTGCCCTATAGCAAAAACCTCTCGAGAAAAAAAGACATCAATTCCTTTAGGTCTATTCCAAGACATCTAGAGAATTTTGTATGAGTAGAAACCTCTTAGGTTGTTCATTATTTTTCCTCCTAACAGTTTGGTGCCAAATCTAAGTTTTTACTGAAGTTGTCAGGAGTTCATTTGGGTTCACTGAGGTTCAGGCCATCTCTGGCACTGTGGCCATAGTAAACCCTCCACTGCTGCCCCTCTTAGGCACAATAAACTCTGGCTAAGTGATTTAATTCTAAACTATTCTCTTAGACCACTATGCTTCTGATTGAATTTTTAATGCTATGCAAAAATAACTGTTATATTTGCAGAGTTAATTGTTATTCAGGAGTAAACTGCCTAAGTCAACCTCAGGTGTTTTTGTTTTGTTTTGTTTTTTAACTCTCTTCTTGTCAGAATCAGGCCACAAGAAGTTAAAAAGTACCATACAGAGAAGCACAGAAACGGGAATGGCAGCTGAAATGCGGAAGATGGTGAGACAGCCAAGTCGAGAGTCTACTGATGGCAGCATCAACAGTTACAGCTCCGAGGGGAAGTAAGTGATGTCGGCGTGTCTGGAGGCTTCAGGACTCTGGTTTGGTTGAAATCAGTAGAACATCAAACCCTCAAGGTTTACTGTGCAGCTTCTTCATTTATCCAGAAATTCGGCTGCGCATTTTTTTAAAAATATTATTTTATTTAATTTTATTTGTTATTATTTTTTCATTTTAATCAGAGAAAGAGAGAGAGAGGGAGGAAAAGTGAGAAAGCAAGACACCAGGTCTGGGACTTGAACCGCAGTCGGCCATGTGGGAATTCACCACCTCTCACCACCACACCTGCCGGCCCCTTAACTGCTCATTTTAAGCCAGCAAGATCTATCATGAATACGCATAGACACACTCTGTACCGAGTCACTCATACCTTTCAGAGAAGATTCACATGAAAAGACTGGTTTCCATCATCCAGTGAAGCTCGGGGTAGTCCTTAACCGAATGTGTAATGTAGAAATGCTTCCTGTCATGTGCTCTTTCATAGGGGAAACTCATAGTCAGACCCTGTCGCCAAAATCTGAACCAATGTTTAGAAACAAAAAATATATAATGATAATAATAATAAAACAGATTTCCCACTTCCCTACTTTTCTCCAAACTGTCGGGTTGTCGGAAAAGTCATGACACATTTTTGCGAAGAAAAACAGAAAACTACGTCTTGATTTTTCTGACGACCCTATTTTGGGCTCTATGTATAACACTCTCATACATGTAAGTGACCTACAATTATTGCCTTTGAAAACATAGCTGACTTAATTTAATTTTAGGAAAAAGATTCAGGTTCTCTCTTCCTCATTATTTTCCGATTAAAGCATTTCGTGAATTCTGAAATTAGTTTAATTCTGAAAAAACATAACTAGACTTTTTCCTTTACTTGGTTTTGCTTACTTTGTTTTTACCTTTTCATATGACTCCTGCACAAAACAGGCATTTTCCCTATGCTTTAGAATTATTCTGGTAAACTGCACTTTTATTGACAGCAGGTCTTACACAGAAGCAATTTAGCTGCAGTGGGCTGCACGGAGATTGACGTACACAAATTTCCGTAATTATTCACTTGTTACTTTTGTGATCACTTCTATATCAATCCATGTTCAAAATTTATTTTACTGGCATTTTTCTTTTTATTTAGAAAATGAAATCAAATTGTGCCAGTCAGTGTTTATGATATACTTTCCCATTCCTGAAACTGCTTGGTCCCTGCATTTCTGATCAAATGATTGTCACTCATGTTTCTAGCAAGGTATAAGTGACAACAACTATTGGCAGGTGTGAAAGTTATGAAGGTAAACTTGCTGACCAAATGCCAGTATTTGATGAAGTCATACAAAACAATGTATAAGTGAAAGACTGGAAACATTATTTTCTGAAACAAAAATAATGATCCAATTAAAAGTTGCCTTTAACATAGATAAGCCACTCCCTCTCTCATCAATTTATTCCCATACTTTGTAGATGGGATAATAATGTGTGTCATGTCTCATTCCCTCAGTGGTGACGAAATAGTATGTGTCACAACACTGTGGAAACAGTCAATTCCTATAGAAGTATGTTCATTAAAAAAGGACTTACTGAATGCCAACAATGTAACACATATGGTTCTCATTACAGAGGCAATTACATCAGTAAAACAGAAGCAGCTCATAGCCTTGGACTTTAGATGGTTTTATATAGTAAGAAATAGACATAACTTAACCAGTTAATTCCTGTTTAGACACAAGTCTCAGGTAATTTAAACATTTAATTCCTTTAAAACTTAAAAATTAAATATATTATTTATAAATAAGAACTAAGCTACATTATTTATTTAAGGACTTATTAGCCACTTTTAAAAATTTTAACATTAATACTAATGTTCATAAACAAGTAAGACATAAAAATTTGCATCTTATATTCATGTGAGCAATATATTTATGTAGTGATATAGATTTGGTTTTGTGAGTTCCAGAACACTTAGCATATTAAAAACCATTACTGAGACCAGCAGGTGGCATGGTCCTTAAGGCACTGGACTCCCATATGGCTGACCACAATTTGAGTCTTGGAAGTGGTGGCTTGAAAATCATGCCAAGCACATGTGCATGCATGCCCAAAATCCAAGGAATAGAATGGAAGAGAAGGGAGTGAGGCATGGCCATACCCCTGGAAGATAATTTCTCACTTTCCCTCTCACCGTCTCTGTATGGTGGAGCGCACGTAACATATGGGGAAAAAAAGCTTTCAAAAAAACTATAACTGAGCCCCCACATAGAATGTTAGGTCTTAAATTGAGAGACGTTTTATCAGTCAGTGTTAAGCCTCTTATGCTTGGATCATAGATAATGAGAAGAAGCAGTAAGTAAACAGAGTCTTTAAGTAGTGTTTATATTTCATGATACGAATTTGTCAAATAAAAACAAAATGAATTCTAGGAGATCTAATAGTTTGGGTTTTGTTCTGTTTTTGTCCTTTTCTAATAGCTTGATATTTCCTGGCGTGCGATTGGGTGCTGACAGTCAATTCAGTGATTTTCTTGATGGACTGGGACCAGCCCAGCTTGTTGGCCGCCAAACCCTTGCCACCCCAGCAATGGGTAAGAATTTTTTTTCAACAGGAAAAATGATATTTCATTGTTAACAAGACCACGTAATATAGCATAATAGTAATACAAAAGAGAAGCAACATTTTAGCTAGGATGTTGTTGGGTGTAAATGACTGTTCTAATTTCTAGAGCACTTTTCTAATGTAAGATATTACAAAAAATGAAATAAAATTGGTTATAAATCTTTGAACTACCAGAAACCTTCAAGGCAGCGTCTACAATAGGTCCAAACACAGCACAAAGAGGACATTTCACAGCATGGAGCTGGGGGTGGGCTATTCATTAAAGGGTGTTGGCCTAACTGTTCAACTCAAAAAAAAAAAAAAAAAATCACCACCACACCTGCCGGCCCCTTAACTGCTCATTTTAAGCCAGCAAGATCTATCATGAATACGCATAGACACACTCTGTACCGAGTCACTCATACCTTTCAGAGAAGATTCACATGAAAAGACTGGTTTCCATCATCCAGTGAAGCTCGGGGTAGTCCTTAACCGAATGTGTAATGTAGAAATGCTTCCTGTCATGTGCTCTTTCATAGGGGAAACTCATAGTCAGACCCTGTCGCCAAAATCTGAACCAATGTTTAGAAACAAAAAATATATAATGATAATAATAATAAAACAGATTTCCCACTTCCCTACTTTTCTCCAAACTGTCGGGTTGTCGGAAAAGTCATGACACATTTTTGCGAAGAAAAACAGAAAACTACGTCTTGATTTTTCTGACGACCCTATTTTGGGCTCTATGTATAACACTCTCATACATGTAAGTGACCTACAATTATTGCCTTTGAAAACATAGCTGACTTAATTTAATTTTAGGAAAAAGATTCAGGTTCTCTCTTCCTCATTATTTTCCGATTAAAGCATTTCGTGAATTCTGAAATTAGTTTAATTCTGAAAAAACATAACTAGACTTTTTCCTTTACTTGGTTTTGCTTACTTTGTTTTTACCTTTTCATATGACTCCTGCACAAAACAGGCATTTTCCCTATGCTTTAGAATTATTCTGGTAAACTGCACTTTTATTGACAGCAGGTCTTACACAGAAGCAATTTAGCTGCAGTGGGCTGCACGGAGATTGACGTACACAAATTTCCGTAATTATTCACTTGTTACTTTTGTGATCACTTCTATATCAATCCATGTTCAAAATTTATTTTACTGGCATTTTTCTTTTTATTTAGAAAATGAAATCAAATTGTGCCAGTCAGTGTTTATGATATACTTTCCCATTCCTGAAACTGCTTGGTCCCTGCATTTCTGATCAAATGATTGTCACTCATGTTTCTAGCAAGGTATAAGTGACAACAACTATTGGCAGGTGTGAAAGTTATGAAGGTAAACTTGCTGACCAAATGCCAGTATTTGATGAAGTCATACAAAACAATGTATAAGTGAAAGACTGGAAACATTATTTTCTGAAACAAAAATAATGATCCAATTAAAAGTTGCCTTTAACATAGATAAGCCACTCCCTCTCTCATCAATTTATTCCCATACTTTGTAGATGGGATAATAATGTGTGTCATGTCTCATTCCCTCAGTGGTGACGAAATAGTATGTGTCACAACACTGTGGAAACAGTCAATTCCTATAGAAGTATGTTCATTAAAAAAGGACTTACTGAATGCCAACAATGTAACACATATGGTTCTCATTACAGAGGCAATTACATCAGTAAAACAGAAGCAGCTCATAGCCTTGGACTTTAGATGGTTTTATATAGTAAGAAATAGACATAACTTAACCAGTTAATTCCTGTTTAGACACAAGTCTCAGGTAATTTAAACATTTAATTCCTTTAAAACTTAAAAATTAAATATATTATTTATAAATAAGAACTAAGCTACATTATTTATTTAAGGACTTATTAGCCACTTTTAAAAATTTTAACATTAATACTAATGTTCATAAACAAGTAAGACATAAAAATTTGCATCTTATATTCATGTGAGCAATATATTTATGTAGTGATATAGATTTGGTTTTGTGAGTTCCAGAACACTTAGCATATTAAAAACCATTACTGAGACCAGCAGGTGGCATGGTCCTTAAGGCACTGGACTCCCATATGGCTGACCACAATTTGAGTCTTGGAAGTGGTGGCTTGAAAATCATGCCAAGCACATGTGCATGCATGCCCAAAATCCAAGGAATAGAATGGAAGAGAAGGGAGTGAGGCATGGCCATACCCCTGGAAGATAATTTCTCACTTTCCCTCTCACCGTCTCTGTATGGTGGAGCGCACGTAACATATGGGGAAAAAAAGCTTTCAAAAAAACTATAACTCAGCCCCCACATAGAATGTTAGGTCTTAAATTGAGAGACATTTTATCAGTCAGTGTTAAGCCTCTTATGCTTGGATCATAGATAATGAGAAGAAGCAGTAAGTAAACAGAGTCTTTAAGTAGTGTTTATATTTCATGATACGAATTTGTCAAATAAAAACAAAATGAATTCTAGGAGATCTAATAGTTTGGGTTTTGTTCTGTTTTTGTCCTTTTCTAATAGCTTGATATTTCCTGGCGTGCGATTGGGTGCTGACAGTCAATTCAGTGATTTTCTTGATGGACTGGGACCAGCCCAGCTTGTTGGCCGCCAAACCCTTGCCACCCCAGCAATGGGTAAGAATTTTTTTTCAACAGGAAAAATGATATTTCATTGTTAACAAGACCACGTAATATAGCATAATAGTAATACAAGAGAGAAGCAACATTTTAGCTAGGATGTTGTTGGGTGTAAATGACTGTTCTAATTTCTAGAGCACTTTTCTAATGTAAGATATTACAAAAAATGAAATAAAATTGGTTATAAATCTTTGAACTACCAGAAACCTTCAAGGCAGCGTCTACAATAGGTCCAAACACAGCACAAAGAGGACATTTCACAGCATGGAGCTGGGGGTGGGCTATTCATTAAAGGGTGTTGGCCTAACTGTTCAACTCAAAAAAAAAAAAAAAAAAAAAAGATATCGAATTGTTTTCCTACTTCACAACTTAAAAAAAAATTAATATTGTAGACTCAACTATAAAAAAAGAAGGGTGGAAAAAAACATTTAAAAAGTACTGGGAAAGTGCTCGCTTTGGCAGCACATATACTGAAATTGGAATGATACAGAGAAGATTAGCATGGCCCCTGCTCAAGGATGACATGCAAGTTTGTGAAGCTTTCCATATTTTTGTTTGTTTGTTTAAAGATACTTTTTATTAAAGATTCTCTTATGAGGTATTTGTCTGGGAGCTGCGAGGCTAAGGCGCTCAGGTCCTGGCTCTTCAGTGAATTTAATTCTGTGACCTTGGGCCAGTCACTTAACCTCTCTGTGCGTCAGTCTCCCTGTCTTATAAATGGGAGTCATACCTACTTCACAGGGTTGTTGTGGGGATTAATTAGAGACAATGTTTGCAAAGCATTTAAGGTTCTTGAATACAAAATAATATCTATTAAAGTTGTTTTGTTTGTGGGCATAAAAAAGTACTGGGAAACACTTATATTAATGTTTCTAAAATCTTGGAGTAGGAAAAACATTCAAAAGGTCAAACCAAGCTAAAATAAGTGAAAACTTTAACTAGTAATATAGACCTTGAATGAAGATAAAAGAAGATGATGGGCTTAGGGCACCACTGCAAAACACTGAAGCTGTGGGAGAGGCCCTGGGTTTGGATCCTGAGTTGACCTGAACACACTGGACACATGCCCATGATTCTGGCTGGCTGGAAGGCTGGCCCTGTTTGAGGTGGATCTTGGTATGGCAAG